ATAATTTATAATTTAAGGTTTACTATCCCTTTTCAGAATCTGAAAATAATCAAGTTGGTACTGGTAAAAAATAGTAATAATAACAGATTAAAATATACAGTTAAATAATAAAATTTTAAAAAAATATATGATAGGTTAAAAATTAATGTTATTGTATAAATTAAAGTAACTACATATAATTTTACCAATATGTTAGAACACTAAAAATAAATAAGTATCATTAATTGATAGAAGACTAAATCACAAAAAATTGATAAAAGATTATAATATAATAGCTTAACATTAATTGATTATAATTTATAAATATTGATCTCTAATGGTAATAATATTTATTAGGTAAAAATTTATAAAGATTTATGTATGGAGAACACTTAGAAAATTTAGAGATATCCTTCAAAAGAATCAAGCGGTTTAATTTCATTTCAAATGGAATTCAGAACGTCCATGAATAACTTCAATTAACACTAACATAAGTTATATTTATCAAAGAAACACTGACTGAATACCCCCTGAAGAATATATTGAACAACTTTGTGCTCATCACAGAAACATTCTTCATAGAAAATTAAAAGAAAAATTACTATACTTTGCGTAAGCAAAAAATATAAAATCAGTCTTTTTCTTTTTCTTATATAGTATCACGACCATGCGTGTGACTTTATTTAGGGGTATGACTACTAATGAAGGATCAATTCTTAAAGGCACTATCAAAGATAATGATGTAATAGCACTATTAGAATTCAAGATCTCTAAGTATGAGATAGTATATTTTATTAGTAAAATTCTTATTAAAGGCCACTAAATATAAAATTCACATTATATCTATCTCAAATTTATAGAGGAGATATGCATGTCATCGTAAATTGTATCAATAATATATATCAACCCAAAGATACAACTTACTAAAGAAATAAGAGAATAGTAAGTAAACCAAGCAAACATCCATATAACACCGTAAAGAAAAAAATATTACATTTTAAAGCTAATATGCAGCGCTATTTTAGAGTAAGCTGCCAAGACAAAAACATCTCCATTAAGGTTCTTTATAAATACAACAGAAATTAAAATTACTAATATATACAACCATTATAACATTTAAAAGAGGTATGATCTTAGAAAACCTACTCTAAACTTCATACAATTAAATATAAAAATAATTTACTAATATACAGACAAACTATCGCACATTTAAGGCAACGATAACTACCATTTATAATAGAGTTGAGCAGTGGTTCTATGTTTGCAAAGTCTGCAATAAGAAAGTGGATAACGATGTGAATAATAATTGTTCAAATGATAAATGTTGTATGTAGGCGTCTAAAAATACCTATAGGTATCCACACACAGCTCGAGATAGAGAGAAGGTGATGAACGCCATTATCTAAGTCAAAGAGGATAATCCGACGCCGACGCAGCCGATCAAACGAACTATTCATGACGTGGCCCGCACGCTCACGCGGCGGCTATCACCAAGTGGCCCGCGTGCTCATCGGCCACCAAATCAGCGAACTAAGTGGCCCGCGTGCTCATCGACATCACCAAGTGGCTCGTACGCTCATCAGTCACCAAATCGGCAAACCAAGTGGCCCGCGTGCTCGCCGCGCCACCATCCAGTGGCCCGCACGCCCATCAGCCACCAAATCGGTAAACTAAGTAGCCCGCACGCTCACCGGCCACCACCAAGTAGCCCGCATGCTCATCGGCCACCAAATTCGACGAACCAAGTGGCCGCGCGTGCTCACCGCGCCACCATCAAGTGGCCCGCACGTTCATCGGCTATCAAAATCGGCAACCAAGTGGCCCGCGTGCAAACCGACCACCACCAAGTGGCCGCGCATGCTCATCGGCTATCAAAACAGCGTACAGATCAATGAAACGATGAAATACGCGTAACGACAGAACAAGTCAAATTTCGGAAGACTAAGAAAGCCACTGGCGCGCCGAGCTGTTTTGATGCGACGGTGACACTTCGACCGAACCAGTGGTTCGGCCCATAACCAGGTCACCAAGGGTGGCTCAGCGGCCGAACCACCATTTGGTGGCTAGGCCAGGCCAAGCCACCATTTGGTGGCTAGGCCCAGGCCGAGCCACTGGGTGACGCTTCGGCCAGATTTGATCTAAAAGTATGATTTTTTTGTTTTCACGGATTCTCTTGGGATTTGTTGGTTCCTGAGCGTCCCAACTGATTTGATACTATGGTTAATCAGTTCTTAACTGAAAATAAGGAGGAATCCCTCGTTCTTATCCAAATACCCGCTTCCGAAGCTTATAAATACGAGCTCGGGTGCTCATTTCTCAGGGGCGGAAATCAAGAGGGCGAAACGCTGCCGAATTGGAGAGTGGAGCCACGAATTTACAGCGAGGGATAGCAGATCTTGGCGATCTTCTGTGCATAAAGAGTGGAGTTCGAGAGATCTGAGATCCGTTCCCCATTCCTCCGGATTTAAGCTTAGTCTTAAATCTCGAGAAGAGCCGTGATCTCGCTTGGTCGAGATCATCGCTGTAGCGATTACTTCCTTCGTGAAGTAAGAGCTTTGATCATCAATCTGTCAACCGAATCTGATCCGTGACGGTCCACGGATTTTAACGTCCCCGACACATGCAAAGTTTCCAGGCAAGCAACGGGTGATAAACGTCCGTTGCGCTATTTGACAAGAGTCGTATATTTTGTATTTTTATTATATAAGGAGATCTTACAAAAAGATCAACTTTTTATTTGAGTTTATTGTAAACGATTAAAGTTGTAATAGATTCAATCACAAAGAAAACAGCGATTTTTGACCCAAACATTATAGAATCGTCGATGATTTAGTACCAATGTTAAGTGATATCCCTTCTTCATGAAAGAAATTTATCAAAATTAAATATTAATATTATAATCTAAAGCAAACTGATAATGAAAATTTTAACGCATTAAGTTTAGATCCTCATGAAAAATGACACAGACAGAGCAAATGTAACATTATGACACAGCAAAAAATCTTATTGGATGCACAACAGAATAATTCATTGCAGAGAAAAAAGAGGTAGCTCCTAACATTGTTTAAGTAATAAATTAAAAGCATAAAATTTTCATATAAATTAACATTTATTCTTATTGAAATAGAAAAAAAAAAATCAAAGTACGTATTGTCAGAAGTGAGCAAATTTTAGTAAGAAAATAAATAATCAAAGAGGTAGCTCCTAACGTTATTCAAACAAACATCAAAAAATAATAATAATCAAAGTGTAATCGAGGAGCAAATTTTAGTAAGAAAATAAACCAAAATTACTTAATCAAAATGAGCAAAAATTATTATCAAAGAGTAACTGAGGAATAAATTTTAGTAAGAAAATAAACCAAAAATACCTATCACGTTTATGTATTGCACGTGCATAAAATCTAGTAATCATACCATGGCGATTTCAGTATGGTGTTTTCAAAACACCATGGTGTTTTTCTTCAAAAGTATTTTCAAAACACCATGGAAAGTGTTTTTGGCCAACAATAGTTTGACCTTTTATAACATTAATATTAAACATTTTATTAATATATTAAATATTAATTATAATATAATCTATTTTAACTAATATATTATAATAATATATACATAATTAATATATTATAATATTATATAACTAATAGATTATAATATTATATCTACATATTTATAATAATATTATATCATAATACTTAAATATTATTTTCAAATATTAACATATTTAATTATTTTTAGTTAAATATGTTATTATCATTAATATATTAACTTTTATAAATAATAATGTATTAACATTTTCTTTTTATAATATAATATAAAATTATTACATTTATGATATTATTATTATATCAATAGTTGTTATAATATATGTAATTTATCATTAATAAGTTATTTACTTTATAATATATGATTGTTTTGTCATTAATTTATAATGTAATATATTATTAAGTATTATATAATATATTATGAATATATTACATATATTAATATTTAATCTTTTATTCTTATAGGAGTTATTATATTATTATTACATAACATATTAATTTTTTAATATATTATATAATTTTTTCATACAATAGTAATATATTTTATTAATCAAATAATATAATATAATACTTTTTTGTTATATAATTCAATATTATATCAATTATTATAGGATTTATTATTAATAATAAATTATTATCTATTGTTTTACCAATATATTTTTCTTTTGTTATTTATTTGCTATTAATTTATATACTATATAATATATATAATAGTATTAAACTATAATTATTATATTATATTAGTTAGAATATTATATGTATTATTAATTAATGATATTAAACATTGTATTGAAATATTAGGATAAAAATATTATAATTTAATTTATTTAAATAATATTATATTATATTATGTAACAAATAGAATATATTTTTATTTATATAGTTAATTTATTATTATCTACTATATATATATAATATTTGAAATATAAATTATTATATTATATTAATTATAATATTATATGTAATTTAATAATTAATGGTGTTCAACGTAATATTGATATATTTAAAAACTAATGTTATAATGTAACATATTAAATAATGTAATTTAATACTATATTAAATTAAATTATATTATATTTTTTACAATGAATATATTATATTAAAAAATATTATTAATACACTATGTGTGATATTATATTAACACCCTTGAAACTCAAAACACAAACATCAAACTTGAAACACGTTTTTGTTGTTTTGAAATAAGTGTTGTGTTTTTAGTTTTTGATATTGTAGACTAACAAAAATACCATAATTTCCAAACACATGATGTTTTATCTTTGACAAAAACACCGTGGAAACATTAAAAACACCATGGTATCCGAACGCTACCTTAAGTTACATGGTTTTGTAGAGGGTCCTACCTACGTATCACTTTACTGGGGCCCATTAGCGTATTTGCTGGCCCATTGCGGGTTGATTCGTGGGTGGATTTGCGTTGATAGTGACTGCTAATTGATTGTTGATTAATTTTCCGGTCCCTCTCAGAAACTCTCAAAAAAGTCCGAGGATCATGAAACAATCTTTCCTCTGCTCACACTCGGTCGTTCCTCTATATAATAATAATCAACGAACGCTCTTTTCTCCTTCTCCCTGTCTCTCTCCTCCGCGTTCGGCGTTTCGCGCTTCTCCTTCGGATCTCTCTCCCCCCGCACCTCGCCTCGGTGAGCCTTAATGATCTCCTTAATTGGATCTAACCAAATTCTTAATGATTACGATCGTTTCCGCTTGGTTTTGTTAAGCATTGCTCTTGATTTTGATCTGGTTTTGTGAGAATGATAGCTCCAGATCTGTTTGGTTCCTGGGTGGTTTAGGGCTGAAGGAAGAAAATGGCGCAAATTTTACTCCACGGGACGCTGCACGTGACGATTTTCGAGGCGGACTCGTTGTCTGTGAGGGCCTCCGCCGGCGCTCCCAAATTTCTACGCAAGGTAATTGACTCGTTCCGAGATTTTTGTTTTTGTTTTTGTTTTTCACAGTGATCTTTGATTTATTATTATTATTATTATTATTATTATTATTATTATTATTATTTTGTTTGCATAAATGGACTCTGTTTCTGCTCTGGTAGAAATATCCAACTGAAGGAAGAAACTTTAGGCCGTGACTAACTAGATTTGAATTGGTTTTGTCTCG